CGTCGTCGTCGATTTGTGCAGGATCCACCGTAGTGTTGCTCGAGAATGTTTTGATTGAAGCGGCTTCTACTTGGCGATCGATGATGGGAGTCCGCGTCACTGTGTCTCGTCTGTGTTCGAACGAGCCACGGAGCATCAACGCGTGTGCGTGAGCCGTGTTTGCGATAGTTCTGTCCACGAACACCGTCGTTTGCTTCGACGCAAACTCCTCAACCTGGGAGACGCCCTCCACCACTGCAAATGTGGCCTCGTGGATTTATGGTGGTTACACCGGTGTCGAATGCACCTTTGTCGTGCTGGCAGAAGGTAGCATTTCGAAGCAGATTTCCTGACGGTAGTAATGGAACCAGTCAATCGCCGAAGATCTTCCAACATGCTTCGACACTTCTAACCCTGGTAATCTGTCGCTGCAGAGTTAGAGTAGCCTCATATTGCAGTGGAGTCTTTCTGATGGGAAGTAGACTAGGAATCATCCTCTCTACAACCTCTTCTTTGCTGGCACATTTTTCCACGGACCTTCATGTTGGTGAACTTCACCGACTCGCAGGACATCACTTCAGCAGAAACCTTGCATTACGGGAGCATTTTGCCGCGTTCCTGCCACCCGTTGTTCAGTCACCGTGTCCTACGCCAATTAGCTGTGCCAAATACCACAATGCTTGGCATTCCGTGGTGTGTGTGTGTGTGGCTGTCCACACTGAATTCTCACATTCCTTTCGTTTCCTTTCGACGTTAACTGCCATTTCCGCACCAGCTATTTCCACGGCTGTTTCCAGACCAGTCTAAGCAACTACTTCCGAATTCCGTCGTGTGATTTTTTTCTCTACCACGACTTGCCGTGTGTGTGTGTGTCTGGTTTATTTTACATAGTTAATTAGGCACCACTAAGCGGGTTCGATTTTCGTACACAATTGGTGCCGCCTTCTCATTGGTCGTTGGTTTGGAGGTTTTTGATTGGCTAGCGCACGAGACAGGCCGTCGATGTCTGTTGCACGCCCACCAGGCCACACGGCATTGTACACCTGAACGTGCAAACTACGTCACAGCGATCTCGGACACTTGGCGAATTCCTGACAAGTTTTTTTTTTAATTTTTTTGCAGGAGTGTCGGCGTGTTGGCGTACTTCATGCTCACCGGTGTATCCCCTTTTCTGGCGGAGACTAAGGCCCTCACGTTGAGTAACATTACTCAAATGAAAATCGACTACCCCGCGCACCTCTTTGAGCACGTCACCTTGCCGGCTCTGGACTTTATCAAGTCCCTCATCAAACGGAGCCCCAGGTTCGTTTAAGTCGTTGTACTTAAATAGACTTAAGTAGGTGTTTTGTTTTATGGGCTCCGTTCTCCATCTCCTTTCCAGGGCTCGCCTCTCAGCCTCGCAGTGTTCGAAACACGAATGGCTGCAAAACCAAGAAACGTTTTCGTCACAGAGCCAGGTTGATCACCAGCCGGCCCTTTCTGATGAGAGCCAGAAGACCCTGGAAGGTGTGGAAGACGAGGAAGACGCCGCAACCGCCAGGTCGAGCAGCGACGAGTCCTCAACCACCACCTCCTCCGCCTCCTCCACCTCCGCGTCCCCCAGCCGAAAGCGCTTCGCGCTGGATGCACTCACGGACCACGCAGACGTCGCCGACGACTTGACGGCACTTCCACACCCTCCTTGCGTCCTCGAGGCCCTTCCACGCCACCGCCACCAGCACGTGCGGAGACGGTCGGTCCTCTGCTCGATTTCGCCTGGTGCCAGGGAGATCTCACCACAGGATTAAAACAACGCGTGATGTCTGCGTAAAATGCCATTCAATGATGTACAGTGCGCGTTACAACCATCTAGGGACCCGTGACGGACGTTGCTAATGCAAATGTTTATTTATTTGGACCCCAGGTCCGTTGTCCAATTATCTTCCTTTATGCGCGTGTGTGTGTATACATGCCTAATGCTCCCTGTTTTGGCTGCGTCCTGCCCACGCCTTGAATATGTGATTTGTTCGCATTGCCTTGTCTTGTCTTGCCTTCTAAACTACCAACGATGATACAAACAACGAGTCGGTTAAGATGTACGGGGAGGGGGGGAGGGGTTTGTGGCTCAGAATAGCATGGCGCGTTCTTCCCCGACCACGGAGAGGTCGTTGATGACGTCTGGGTCGTGTTCCATGATGCTGCGCACCTCGTCTGTCGTGAGTTTTCGACGCCGCAAGCAGACGTCGGGAGTGGCGGCGCCGTCGGCGTTGTGCGAGGCGCGCTGCTCCGCTTGAAGGTCCGCCAGCGCCACGAGGACCGCGTCGTGGAGACTCATGAAGAAGTTCTCTTCTGGCAGGAGAGCGTAAACCCCGGCGCTGTGGAAGGTGGAACGCAGACGTGGTCGTAGAGCGACGATGAACACGGTCACGTCTACGGCCATGTAGTTTTTGATGACCTGAAGAAGAGATATTGTTTTTGTTGACAGCGGTTGTTTACGCTACGCTGAGGTGTTCGATCCGGTGGTTAAAATTGGGTTTCCTGGAGTGCTGATTGTCCCAGAAATGGACCAATCACTGTGCCTCTCCTTGCTGTGCGGTAAGTGGCATATTACGCGTGGGATTGTGAAGGAGAAAACATGAAGTTTTCGTTAGTTTTGGGGGCACGGAGCGCGAATAGATGGCGGTTCCATGAGTTTGGCCTGCGAGCGGTTTCACGCGATTTCTGTAAAATCGACTGACTGCAAGTTTCCTGGAATGCTGATTGTCCTAGAAACGAACCAATCACTGTGCTCCTCCTTGCTGTGCGATAAGTGGAAAGTTATGCGTGGCCTTGTTAACGTGCAATTTTCGGTAGTTTTGGGGACACGGAGAGCGAATAGATTGCGTTTTCACGAGTAAGGCCTGCGAGCGGTTTCACGCGATTTCTGTGAAATCGACTGATATTTTCTTTTCAACTTGGATATGCACGCATTTTACACGCATAAATAATTTATTTGCTGCCTGAAGTACTCATGAAAGCGCGGAGTTTGGTTTATTGGCGCGGTG